ATTTACTATGATTGTATTGTGTTGAATATTATTCTTTAAAATTTAGACTATCCTATTTCGTCATAAAAAAATTGAATCGAACAAAACATAGCGATTTATACGACTACCTGCATCTTCTATGCAAATCTCACGACTCTTATCTGACTGTCAAATTTAATCTATCATCTTTCCACTAATGTGAAAATAAATATAATGCTATTAAAATAGATCTTTCATAAGAATGTTGATTCCAGAGTATAAAACGAAAGACGGTTACTTATTTCATGGCTTTCATTGGGCCCAACAAACTACAATTCCTTGAAAAGAAATACAAATGGAATCTTCTTCGTTCTTGATTTCACAGGATAGATTCTATGAAAAGTATAACCTATAAAGGGTTTTGACCAACCTGCTGAGACTTGGAGTTAATAGAGCCATCACATATAACGGTAGGATATACGGCGGTAGATAGTGTATCAGAGGCAAATTCGTCAAAGCCAAGGCTGAAAAATCCAGGCCAGTTAGAGGCCAGACGAAGGTGACAGAGTGGCCTCTCACCCAAATTAGTTAGACACAATTCAATCCGACGGACTTCGCCCTGAAGCATTTGAGAAGGGAAGCAGCTGAAGACAACCTAAATGATAAAAATATGTAAGTAGGGAAAAAAGTGAGGGTTTGAGTGAAAGTGATGTCTCTTTTATATTTAATGTAGATAAGAGTATTGGCACAATAATAATAATACAAGTTACAAACCGCAAGATCAATAAAAAAGTGGTAGAAGGCGCTTTGAATTTTTATTGTAAATATAAGTTAATACCTGAATACCATCAATGTTTGATGAAAAACTTATATATATATATATATATATATATCAGTTAATGCCTCATTAGAATAAAAGTTTAGGCCATAAGAGAGGATTAAGAGGACTCAAATTTAGGCCAAGTAACGTTGATCGTTATGATAAAGCATGTCAGAGCAAAATTTAGCTCGAATTCATATGGATCAAAGACGGTTCAGTGGGACGAATACGCCCAAATCGATGACCAAGAATAAGTTCTGCTTATAACTGTCTGCACGTTCACAATTGTCTAAATAAATTACCTCAA